ATACCACCCCATCAACTAAACCACCAGAACCTCCAACACCCATTGCCTTTGCCCTCTTCTTCGCTTCCCTCCTAGCCCTCATGTCGGGTTTACCCCAACACTCACACTTCCACGTGCTTGCAATTCTTTGTTTGTTCGCCGTCTTAGAATTTACGCCTTGAACCCTTGACACTCCAAACCCAATCTGCTCAGCATACTCCTTATAGTAGGCTTCAACCTCTTGCCAAGACCGGAAAACCATCCCTTCCTTAGGCTCCTCAACAATTACACGCATTTCGTTGCTACCAACCACAGTGTGAGTCGTATGAATTGTTTTCACGGGGGATAAATACCTAACATTCACATTCATGTCAACTGCACCTACACCAACACCCTCAGTACAACTATCTGCAACAACTATGTCTTCTATACCCTCCATATCATTGCCCTCCTCCTCCTCCATATCAACGTTACTCCTAAACTTAACGACACTTCCACAATCACCAACACCAACCTCACTGCCCCTAATAACACCTTCAGTTTCCATTTCCATAATATCAGTCATAATACCAGTCTTCTCCATCAAAAACAATTCACCCTTCAAATACAGAACACCAACATAATTACAATACAAATTAATACAGAACACCAACATAATTACAATACAAATTAAACCAGTTAATCAACCAACACGTTTTCACAGCACAAATTCAACCCAACACAGAAATACAACCAACCAACCAATTGAACAACCAACAAAGTAATACAACTAATCTTCAAAAATTAACAGAGGGATTTGTTTCAAAGCATACGAAGACGACACATTATCAAAAAGTATAAATTGCATTTTCAACAAAATCATTCGGCCATTTTCCAGCAACCTCAAACCACCCATTTTAACAGAGACATTAACCTCATAATACCATTACTTTCAAAATTATTCTGATTTCGGTCACAATTATGAACTCAATTTATTGAAATGTTGCCGCATCAAAACCCTAGAACAGAAGAAAACTCATGACTGGAAGAAGCGACGAAGAAAGAGAACAAAAAACTACCTGCTAATTCAACTCGAAATTGGGTCTGGAAATTGGGTCTGGAAGCTGTTCAACTCGAAGATGTGTGAAGATGGTGTGCAGATGTAATGTGTGAAGATGTGTGAATATTTTCCCGCCTAACCTCAAGAACGCCATCCGTTAAATAGATTGACACAAGGATGTCCACACTCAGCACCACTCAGCAATTGACACATAGGCAACACATAGGCGAATCCAAATCATTGAAGTGTCTCAAGTCTTTATCTCTGCTTTTACTTTAACTGTGGGCTCATCCATATCAGCAGTGTTTTGCACAAATTCAACATTTTATACAAAACAACCCCAACCTCCCGCCCAAAAATATGATCTTAATCATATAAAGCATAGAGAGTATAGAGTACAAGTATTTTGGTAAATTAATACTTATTTAATGTAAAAAAAAATTAAAAAAAAATGGTTTCCTCTACCTAGGACTTAATTCATTTAGGCATATGCTTTAATTTGTAATTCATTGACCCACTTGTTTTTATTTATAATATTAAAGTTGTGAGATGTCCCTAGTATAACTGGAATACATCTTACTTGTACTCGTAATTAGAGCTGTTAGTTTCTGACCCGAACCGTTAAATCCGACTGTTTCGAACCGATCCGAAAAGAAACTAAACCGTTAATTAAAAACCCGTTTTTCGGAAATCGAAAATCGACTCGACCCAATTTTTCCTAACCCGAAACTGAACTGAACCGAATTTGTGTGAACCGTTACTAATCCGACCTGTTATCAAGCCAAACCGTTACAACCCGAAACTGAAAACAAACCGAACCGATTACGTCTGAACCCGATAGTAACCCGACCCATTTTAAACCGAAAACCGTTTAAGCACGGTAAAAATCCGATAAACCTGAACCGGTCCAACCCGTAACCATTGTGACCGAACCATTTATAACCTGTTATAACCAAATCGTTTCCAACCCGTAACCCGTTGAGACCGAACTGTTTACGACCCGTTACCCGTTGAGATTGAACCGTTTACGACCGGTAACCCGTTATGACTGAGTCGTTTACAACCCGTAACCCAATATGTTTATGATCTGATCCGTTTCAACCCACTACTCGATAAACCCAACTTATTTTTGACTTAATTTGATTATAACATGACTCGTTCCTACCCATTATCTGACTAACTCGACTCGATAATGATCCGACTTGATTTTAACCCAATATGATTTGGACTGAAACCCTTCAAATTGGGTAAACCCGTTTTCAAACCGACCAAGTTCAATCCAAACCGATTATGACCTGAACCGATAATGATCGGAACCCCGATTTCACCCGATTTGTTTTGAATAGAAACCCATTTTCAAACCGTCCCGGTTTAACCCAAATTGATTATGACCCGAACCGATTACAACCTAACCCGATTAAAACCCGAACTATTTTGAACCGAAACCCACTTTAAACAAGCTAAACCCGTTTTCAAACCGACCCGGTTCAACCCAAACTGGTTATGATCCAAACCAACTACAACCCGACCTGATCAGGACCCGACTCGAATAGAAACCGCAATAAAAAAAAACCAAACCAAACTGACGCGATGATTTTCAAAACTGACCCAAACCGATCCGCTAATCATTTCAGCCCGTTATAAACCGACCCATAATAACCCAAAACTAATAAATCCAACCCAAATCCGAACAGTTTACCCGAATTGATACCCCTACTCGTAATACATTTAAACATACGATATTAACGTATAACATGAAACAAACACGTACCCGCTTAGAAAGAGTCCAATTTGGCCATGGATCATAATGTTATGTAATTCTTATCAAAAACCCACTTTAATTTTACACCTGCACCGTACATACCAAAGAGAATGTGGGAAACAAATGGGTTTCTTTTAGGCATTTCATCAAACACCTAATTGGCGAGGCACTAAAATTGTTGTCACACTAAAATAGGGACATCGCATGACATCCAATCACAAAGTAGAACCTAGAATGTTAGTGGAATTCAACTATCAATATTTTTCCAGACAATTTACCTGAATTTAGGAGACGAAAATCACTTTGATTCTCAAAGAACATAACTATACTTGCTGTTGTTGGCTCCTCGTTTAAACAAGAGTTGTGCTTCACTTCACCTCTTAGTATTGCATATAGCACAAGTCTCAACTGTACGAACTATTGATTTTGGGGTGAGTTTATTACTTTAATAGAAGTTTGTACTTATTTATGTTGCTTTAGTGAAATACTAGATTATCCCCGTGCGATACACGATTTTAATAAAAAAAAATTATAGTATAGAACTTGTATATATAATGAATTTTTTTCAATTTTGTCATAAATTCATTGGAAGGCGATTTATTAAAAGAAATACAGTTTGAATATTTCAGGAAATTTTTCTGGACGATTGAATATTAGTGTAAAGAAATTGAGGAGAGGGAACGATAGATCTTTAAATCAAAAGAAAGGAATATAGCTGCTATTCAATTTACTATACTTCGATTTTCTAGATTAAAGTTGTTAAAAGAACTTACTTAACTTGTGTGCGAAGTATCACACAAAAGGAAAAAAATCCTTTCAAAAAAAAAAAAAAAAAATCTATCACAAAAAAATGACATCACCAATGGTTTTAGGCGGGAAAAAAATTCATAAGAAAGCGACACGTATACAGTTTTGAGGAGAGATGATGTCAGCAATATATTATTTTAGTAATAATTAATAGATAATCTAATCTAAACTTATGTGTCTTGTCTGTAGAGGTAACAAACGCGTTGTTTTTCGTTTTGATTGGGTTTGTTATGTTGTTCGAAACTTCGAATAGAGTTTCGGTAAATTATACTTGGTTGTGAGTCTATTTGATATATTAAATTTTATCATCGATCCTCATTACTCGAGTCAAATTCAAACTACTTTATTTGATGAGTGATTTTGTATTAGTTTTTTTGGTTGGTGTCTATTATAGGGCGAGTAAGGTCTACTTCATTTCAATCAATATATAAATCAAACCATTAATTATCGAAAGTAAAACGATTTTTAAATTTGAAGAAAAAAAATTATAATCAGCGATATCAAATTATTAACTTAGTCCTTTTGGCTCGATACATACATACACTTATGTAAAGTGTTTGTTTTGCCCCTCCTAAACCAGGTTAAGAATCAAAACTAGGTAAACAACTTAACTATTACACTGTGATATTTTCGTCTGGATGTACTATGTACATTGACTTCACATAATGCGCGTCTGAATGTATATTGACTCTTCATATAATGCGAGTATTCCGTAGATAATTAATCTACACTTATATCAGTCGTTTAATTTGCCCCTTCTAGACCAAAGTGAAAAATAAACTAGGTAAACGTCTTAACTAATACACCGTGATATGCTCCTAACATATTGTATAATACACATACTCCATAACACAAGTAGTCTTATAATTGGAAGTTCATAAATTTTGAAAGATATAAAATTTATGAATGCAATTTTTAAGATAGATACATGTCTTTTAATAATGTGGGAGTAGTGGACTTTAGATGAGATACAACCTGTTATGAACCACTGCTATTTCATGTGATAGATTAGCCATGATGTCTTCCTTTTATTTTAATAACTTGAGAATATTGACAATTGTTGGTTTCTATTTCTACAGTCATGTTACTACTGCCTGTTGCTGTCACTGCTCTTACTGATGTTTGCTGCAGTCACTGCTTAAACTGATGCCTATTGATGTCTACTGTTACCGCTACCTGATGCAATCTGATGTTATTGCTCTTACTGATGCCTACTGATGTCTCTGCTGTCTGCTGGCCCGGTACTGCCGTTTGCTATAAACTACGTATTACGAAATACTGTGTTTTATTCGGGATCACAATGAACCTTATAATTGGGTTTTACGGTATTAAATTGAACATTAAATCTTACAAATTACAACTATGGTATGGCTTCCCCCTCTTAAAAAAAAAAAAAATATTCCTAATTTTTTTTTTAAAATAACTTTAAAAATTACATCTATAAAATATGTTGGATATTGGGCCAATTGGCCTTTGGAGAATAAAGAGTAGTTTGGGTAATTAGGACCCAAAAAAATACCCATCATATCATTTTTTTTTTAAAAAAAAAGGAAAAAAGAAAAAGAAAAAAAGGGTAAGTTTGGTTGTTTACAACTAATTAAAAGAGCAGAACAATCTAAAAAAAGTAAATTAAGGTTAATGGTGTAAATTAAGATAATGAGCCGTTAGGGTTTTAGGTGTTTAGGGTTTTTCCTTTTAACTATCCTTCTTTCTCTCTTCCCCTGCAATTTCCCATTGTCAATTTCTAAGCCAAGGCGGCTAGGGTTTTCAATTTGGGGTTCCCATATTTCGTCCAATTATTTACCCACTACTTTCCATGTTCTAATTCTCAGATTTATAAAGTTATCATTCCAAAATCTCTTTTTTATTTTAATATATACTATTAAGAATTCAATTATAGTAGTACAATTCTTTGTTTCTCTCTTATCAAATCTTCGCTGTAATTTCCCAATTCTTTGAAATTCTTTGATTTTTATCTTTTTTTTAGGGTTTGGATTGATTTTGATTAGTGGGTATATCAAAAGTTTCAATCTTTGGTCTTAATTTGATCTGGGTTTGTTGAAATTGATTGATTTTGCATCTCAATTTTTACAAAGATGAGTTTTTCTGATTCTTTTTCATCGTTTGTACCTTTTTCAAATGGATTAGATTCAATGGGGTTTTGGCCTCAATTTAATGGTTCAAATGAACAACCTGAAGTAAATTCAGAATTTGATCATGATCTTCCGCCATTAAAGAGGTCTAAGAGCTCATCAGATAACCTACCTAGCAATCTTACTCATAGAACACCTCAGATGAACCCTCCTGTTAATCAGCCAACTGGGAAAATCTTCTTTAAAACCAGGTTATGTGCAAAGTTTAGGATGGGTCAATGTCGAAACGGCGAAAATTGTAACTTTGCTCATGGTGAGGATGACTTGAGAAAGCCTCCTCCTAATTGGCAAGAACTCGTAGGCGGCCGAACCGAGGATAGAGGCAATAGTGGGAGTGATAATTGGGAGGATGATGATAGAATCATTCATAAGATGAAGCTTTGTAAGAAGTTTTACAATGGGGAAGAATGCCCTTATGGTGATAGGTGTAATTTCCTTCACAAAGAGCCTGCTAAGTTTAGGGAGCCGGCTCCGGTTCGATTTAGGGAGAATTCTAGGGAGAGCTCTGCTATTAGCATTGGTACTACAGGGCCTCCTATGGTGCAGCAGCAACAATCTAGGGTTCCTGATCAATATGATGTTCATAGGATGGTGGTGGCGAGTGGTAATGGTAATGGTAATGTCAATGGTGGTATGGATGTCATGAGGGGGAATTCGAGGCCGGTTTATTGGAAGACAAAGCGTTGTACCAAGTTTGAAACAACAGGGCAATGCCCTTTTGGGGACAATTGCCATTTTGCTCATGGGCAATCAGGTATATACCTTGACAGACTTTGATTGATTATGTCATTAATTTGTTCTATTATTAATTATTGTTCTTCTTATGTCGCGGTTGTTTACAATGTATTGTTGGAATTAGCATCTATTATGGCTCATTGATCAATCTTTCTTACATGTTTTATGAGTTAGTCTAATAACAGTTCAGATTTGTGCTGGCTTTATCTTTTGCATGAGGTCGATTGTTTTGTATTTTATCCCCTTAAGAAACTAAGACAGGCTTGTAACTGTTGTGAGAATGCCAATTGCTGACTTGTTTCTTTTTGCCATTAGTCCTGCTAAACTTGTTGAGAAGTACATGGTCAAACCTGATTCGATAAGTAATTTACTTAGTTTAGTTGAGCTCTTTCAAGTTTACTTTTTTTACCAAATGTTTTGAAAGTGTTATATTGGTTTATCACTGTTTAATGATTTTGTTGGAGTAGGATTTATCTCAGTAGTTAAAACTTGTCAAATAAGGATAGTTACCATCTTGCCGTTGTGCAACTCTTGTTTCACCCTTGTCAAAATACCATGTCTCCTGTTTTAGACTTTGCAATTTGCTTCATTATTTTGTCCGTGTTTGTTGAAATTGATAATTAAACAAGAATTTAGTTTGAATCTGTATTGTTGTAGTACATTGGAAAACATCTTTCTCCTTTAGTTTTCTCTAGATAGGGCCATAGGGGGAAGGCATTTAGTATCCGGGCAAAGACTGTATTGACTGAATATTTGTTATAAGGTTTGGAGTGTACTCTTCCAATTCAGTGCTTGGTTTGATTTGATGATCCATGATTGCTTTCTGAAGATTCATTTAGCTCCATTTGGGCCGTTTCTAAGCTACCGTTACTATATAAATCATATTGATTATGGAGACCTACCTTCAGATTTTGTTAATAGAAAATGAGATATCATTGCCATATTGATTATGTTAACTGATTTTCATGATAGAGAAAGAGATAGGATTCTCTTCCGTCACTAGATCACCCTAGCCATATTGATTATGCAAACTATACGTTACAATACATTTGTGGTAGATATGCTAGTCTCGTGAAATCTATGCATTAATCAAAATGCGCACGTGTTTTCTGAATAGATATGGTACTCTTGTGAAATCTATGCATTAAGCAAATGCGCACGTGTTTTTAAATAGATATGCTACTCTTGTGAAATCTATGCATTAATCCAATGCGCACGTGTTTTCTGAATCCTTATCAGGCTTTGTTCATTTTCCAGAGTTGTTGCTACCTGGTGGCCGTCCTGCTGATGCTGAACCAGTGACAATGAACTCTGCTCCTCTAAAACCTGTTTCTGCTCCTATTAACGATCCAACACCCACAAAGATTGATATCGGGGTTCCCTCTGGACATGAAGGTCAAGGAAAAAAATGCCTCTTCAAATGGAAAGGAACCAAGAAGATTAATCGCATTTATGGAGATTGGATCGATGATTTGCCCCTCAACCTACCTAATCAAGTGGAGAGCTGAGTTTGAGTGTGCCAGTTTTGCTAGAATCTCGTCTTTTTAGTGTCTATAGGTACTTATCAATTTTATCATTGATATTATCATTAGGATTTTTGGTTGTGTTTGCAATTTTCTTATGCTGAAGCCTTGTTTGAGGGTAGTAGGAATTTTTTTTTTTTATTTTATTTTTTCCTTAGCATAATTTTGGGTGGATGCCCTACCTTCTTAGGAGTTTTGTTGCGAATTGTGACTTGCAAGTTGTAATATACATATATATGGTTGCTGAATGCTAATAGCCTAATATACAGGCAACAATAGCTTAGTTCAGACTTCAGAATTTCAGAGGTATGTATACTCTGCTTATAATAGAGGAATTCTAATAAATGATGGCTTTTGTTTTTGCAATTCCTGTCTTCTCCATGATAATATGATTTTTCGTATTATTCGTACTACATATATTTTATGTATTATGTACTAGCTTTAAGACTCGTGTGATCAGATTGTTTGGATTAGATTATATGAGTAATAAGGTATTAAGAGTTAACAGATGGAGAGTAATGGGTATAGCGTAAGAGGCATGCACAATTCAAACGGGAAACATATTTGTTGTAGAGGTGATCTTCTATGATTCTGCCTGAAAAAGAGCAGGTTTGGACAATCCAATAACAGTTTTTTTTAGTTAAAAATCCAAACCCGGCTTGAAAAAAGCTTGAAAAACCCGCTCTAATCCGTCACTTTTTTATGGGTTTGGACATGAGATTTAATGTTAGATCGGCCAAATTTTTATCACCTCTAAATTTGTTGCCATAAGGTTGAGACTTGAGAGTGCCCGTTGCCCAAAGTATTGTAGAATACATTCAACGATACAGGCCATGAGATAGCCCACAGTAAAAGAGGCCCACATTGGTATATGGGCACATGGTTTATATAAAGGCCCAATACCCTCTAAATTGTGGTAACTGTGTTTCTTTGCCATACCATCCAGAAATCATCCCTCAATTTCTAAAAGTTTAACCTTTATATTTCAAATTTTTCAAAAAAACATCTTTCACGAAATTCTTGATAAAATCTAAGTGTAATTTCAAACAATAAGAGGGGAGACATTATGAAACTACGCAATAGCCAATAGGTCTTTACTCTTGGAAAAGAAGCTTCCATATTTACATCCATATTTCACATAAAGTTAGTTAAAGCTGTCATGAAATATTTGTAGTTATTTATTTCATTTTCTCATTTCTCATTCTAGCAATTCCCTGTATATGTATACTAGATGAAATCTATGCGATGCAAGGTTTATTTGTATTTTTTAAAACAAATATTTTTTTTGTATTTATGTGATTAAATTTGTTATTTCATTTGAGAAATGAGCTATCAATTTTTTGATCATTTGGGAAATGAGCAATCAATTTTTTACTCATTTAGCAAATGAGCAAATAGTTAGTGCTCATTTGTCAAATGAGCAAATAATTAGGTGCTCATTTGTCAAATGAGCAAATACTTAGTTGCTCATTTAACAAATGAGCAAAAACTTAGTTGCTCATTTGTCAAATGAGAAAATAGGTTAGTTGCTCATTTGTCAAATGAGCAAACATTTCTCTAATCATTCATTAAATCAACAAGTATTTCTTTGCTCATTTGTGAAATGAGCAATCAATAATTTTCAATTCCCAGATCAATTATTTTCTTTACTCAAATTGTAACTGCCGGAAAAATTGATAAACTATCTTGCAATTAAACAAAATCCCAAATCTTAATTGTTTTCAAATCACAAAAGAATACAACTACTCTCAACAACCCTCAATTTGAACTATATACACACTTCAGAAGTTCAGATCATCTACACAACAAGCTTAAGCAACAAAATTATAGCCTCAATCAATTTCTTGCAATTATACTCAGATTTAGAGCTCTGAAATATTCACATTCAGATCCAACACCAGAAAACAAAAACTCAAAAAACAATAATGAAAGAAAACTGAAAAAAAATTTCAATGAGGCATTTCGTCGAATACCTTGTAAGTAGTCACAATTCTCAGCTTCTTTGCGTACAACATCAAGAGCATAATCAATCAATTGCCACCGTAGGAGACCCACTCGAAATTTTGAAAATGTCCTCACCTCGTTCTTTAGACCAGCATCCACTTCCCACCACGGCACCACCTTCCTCCAAACCCACACATAATCCCACCCACAAAGACCCACATCCAGCCAACCACAACTAGTTTCAACTTCAGGTTCAGTTGATTCGGCTTTAGGGACTGAAATCTCCTTTGGAGAGCTCATTTTCTTAAAATTGGGGTTTCTGCAACGAGTTGATTTAGATTGATGAACACGACGAAATCGAATTCTTTGTGATGATGCATAGTATAGAAGAGAGAGAAATTATTGGAATCGCATGAAAAAGGATGAACATTTGATTGGAAATTGATGATGCTAGAACAATCTACTCCAACTCCCACCGTTGCCTCTGAATCAGATGCTTCTCCAGTTATAATTGATATTTAATTGTGGCCGTTGGATGTAATTGATCCAACGGTTATAATGAGTCCTCACATATAATATGGTTCTCACATAAGGGATGTGGTCTCATAAGATCCCATTTCTATATATATATATATATATATATATATATATATATATATATATATATATATATATATATATATATATATATATATATATATAATTGAGATCATGTGAGAACCAAGGTGAATAATGAGAAGTAGGAACCAATATCAACCTTTAATCGCGCTCCATCTGATGGCTCACGTTCCACCTGCATTCACTAATGGCATTTTCGTAATTTCGTAGTTTTAAAAACTTTTTTCCAGTTTTTTAGCTTTTAAGCCAATTTTATTTACTTTATGAGCGATTTCATTTACTTTTACTAACTTTTCATTTACTTTTTAGGAATGAAACTGGAAACTACTTTATAAAATTGAAATATTACGAAAATATCATTAATGACACCGGAAGCATGTGGACCGTTCGATTAACATGATTTAAGGTTAATGACACGGGAAGTATGTGGGCCGTCCGATTAACATGATCTAAGGGACTAGATTAGTTCCTAGTTCTCATTTTAGCGTTGGTTCTCATTGTAACTTGGTTCTATATATATATATCCCATCATATGAAAAAAAGGATATCTCTATTCTCCCTTAATAGTCTCTATTTCACAATATGTTATCAGCACCATAATTCTAGATTGATTTCAATAGCAATTAAAGCATCATAATTTGACTAATCTCAAACGACAATCAAAGGTACGCCTAAACTTTGTTATTATCAAATTATTAGGTAAATAGTTTTACACACTTTTACAAATCGACATCTATATATATGTTGAATATTTCTAATTAATAATTTTGATGAAGACGTTTTTTTTTATGTGGAGTACTGTGGCTATTATTATATTACTGTCGCGCCTTTGATATTTTGACCTAACATTATGTATTGTGTTCATTTGAAGAAAAAAAAATCTCCCTTTTCGATTGTCCTCTAGTGATCAATCAATCAATCAACTCTGTCATTGGGTTTCCCGTTGTCAGTCCCAAGTTTAGATAAAGGAGGAGAGTTTCGGTAGGCCAGTGACAGCTAGTGTAAAACTTTATCACATTCCATGACATGAGCCAAACTGATTGTCCTCTAATGATGATTATTTTTATTAATTTTGTTATGTATAATTTCATGCTTTAGTTGGGTTAACGTCAGAGGGTACAGTTGAATAAACACTTTCGGTTGGAGGGCACATCTTATAATTTTGAAAAAACATGGACACATCTTAAAAACTCAACAACCACGGGGGCATAGCTTTGAAAAATCCAATGCTTTTTTTTTTCCTTGAAAGTGATAAGGATTGACCATGATCTCCTACTAATTAACTCCTTGATTCTATCCATGATTATTGCGGTATATAATCTCTGTATTATTCTCTCGTAATTTCCTCTCTAATCCTAGCCTTGTAATCTTTTGTTACCTTTCTTAGTAGCTAATTACTAGCATTGTAACAGTATATATATTATTGGTCATTTACATCAGTAAAATACAATCACTTCCTCTCTCTTCTTAATAGAAAGATGTGATTATAATGCTTAAATTCAAAGTTGCATTCTGATATAGAATAAGGCTAACATTCATTCATACTTATAATTGTTTTATCCTTCAAATAACTTTATTATTATTGTTACATAAATTCGTTTATGCTGCACAACAACAAAGGCTCAATATGCAATAGGAATTTTCGGCCAATGGTGGACATTTAGCCTTACATAATTCGGTTGTACAATTAACTATGTGAATATTGCAACGAGGTCCTACTCCTAATCCAATATCTTCAGCTTGCATCACTTTATTAAATCTTGTGCTCAGAACACTAGTACCTACAATTATAAACATATAAATTAAATTAAACTATAATACTCCAGTTAATTTTTTATTTTTTATTTTTAAAAAACATATAGTTTGATTTAAATTACATAGTATTGATCAACTGAAGTAATTAATTAAGTACTACTCGTAGTCATTTATCTTGTACAAATTTTTGTAAACGACCGTATAACGATTAGAAAATTGTCAAACCAGTTTTCAAAAGTTAAAAAAAAAAAAAAATGTCAAACCACATGCCACATTAGTACATTACCCATCTTCTACTAAGCAAGTAAGGTGATTTGATATGAGGCTTAATGATATTTTTGACAAAAATAAAAAATTAAAAATCATACTGTATAATTTTGAAGATCGAAGAAATGTATAATTTTCCTATAGCTATAATTACAAGAATAGTTATTCACCTAATTTACTTTTCACTATCATTAAACAAGATAATTCAATTACAATATCTCTTTATGAAAAATAAAAAAATAAAAAAGATTTCAAACCAAAATGATAATCTAAAGTACTATAATGATATTAATTTTAACACTTACCACAAGACAATATAATTAGTAGCACCAAAATGAGAGGCACGCATAATTTCTTTCCAGCCATATGATGAAATTGGAGCTTTAAAAATGATAATCTTTCTTTTTCTTTTTTTTTTTTACTGTCAAAGTTGTTTATCTTGTTAGTCTTAATTTTTTTTTTATTTTGGGAATTTGGGTGCAATGCTAGTCTTGATACTTTATATGTGAACAATAATTGTTATTAATTATTACATATGTATTATATGCCAATTATAATTCGAACCTTTTTTGATGTAATTATGCAAACTAGACATGAAATACTGAAGTTACATAATATGGAGTATAAATGTTTGATTTTTTTTAATTTTTTTTTCACATTAAAATGATTTCTTTCCTTTATATATATATATATATATATACTTATTACTCCCTCCGTTTCATAATGTTAGTCCCATATGGAATCAATCACATAAAACAAGAAAAAAAGAATATTTGGAATCT